TTGAGCCTCTCCGGTTCTTATCAGAACCACACAGACTCAAAAAAGAGATATTGCATGGTGTTTACCGCAAGCTTTCCATCTTAGTTATAATATTTTAATTTTCAAGGGCGTCAAACACTTCTTAAAGTGTATGGGGTGGTGGGGACATAGTATCTTATATGTAAAGCAGAACCAACGCGAAGCCTGCTTGTCAGGTTTTCGAAATTAAAAACTGCATCACGAGTTCGAGTGCCGTGGGTATGCTGTCAGGAGGTCGGTCTCAAAGTACCAACACTTGGCGGCGCTATACTTTTCCCAGTCTTGTCCAAAACGGGAATTTTCTGCTGCTACGGCTAGGCTACACACACTGTACAAACGCGTCATAGAAGCTGTAGCCACAAAAAAGCACTTAGTCTAAAGGCGCCTTTAGTCTGTTTATGTTGCGAACATGAGTGTGCAGTTCTTAACGTACTAGACCATGGTTAGTCTGAACTCCTCCAGATGCTGAAACTTAATCGCGATGTGGTCGTTGGCATCACTGCCCCGTGCATGATGAAGTACTTCTTGCAAAAATGAAGTTACGAATACGATCAGGAGGAGGTCGAACAGAAAAGGTGGATTTTGATGGCGACCCAACTGTAGCAGAAGTGAAGGAATCGGTGGCGCAAGCGTTCGGGTAATGACAGCGTGTCCGTGTTGCTAGTGTCATGAGTGCAGTGCTTGGTTCTTTAACCCTAATGGTGCTGAACCCAACAAGGTTATGCAGGATTTCAATGGTCCCTAGGGGGTTAGGGTTAATTTAGGCCAACATTTGTGTAGGGCCAGGTGTAACCTCAGACCTGCCAACCTATCGTACTCCTTCCTTCAGGCATTACTACACAATGATGTGGTGATGCCTGACCTCAGAAAAGAGTACGACAGGTTGGCAGGTATGTAACCTGTTCATTCTCACTGTCACGTTCATGGTACTAGCTAGTACTTGGGAGTTACCCACCATGTTCACCTGCCCACCCAAGGCAAATTACAAATTATAATGTTACACTAATTTTCTCTTGCGGTGGTTTATCAGAAAGTGTAAGGCCTTGCGTGTCCTAAACTTAAAAGTCAGCTGCAGCTGGGGCCAATTTCATAGAGTTGCTTAAGCACAGAATTTGCTTAAGCACGGAAAAACCTTGCTTATTAAACAAAGGTTACCAGCTGAAACTCTGTGATTGTCATGCTAACCAAAGACAGCTAGATACCATTCCAAAGCAATATACATCACCTGAAGTTTTGGCTGGTAACCTGATTTGTCAAGCAAGGTTTTTTCATGCTTAAACAAATTTCTTGCTTAAGCAGTGCTATGAAATTGGCCCAAGAGTTCCTTATACAGACATCACTAGTTTTCCCTTGCAGTAGTCAAAATGGAAAGAATTCCATACGGAAGCCAGTAATCATGGTAATTATCATTTGTGCGTGAACTAGGCCAATAAGCAATGTGAAGCCATATGACATGACCTGTATTTAGTAATCTTTATTCAGCTTCAATTTATCGCCAAATTATCCCAAAGAAAGCGAAGGAATGGAGTTCAACATTTCCTTGGGTCAACCAAAACTTCCTTAAATTCTTCCACGTATGTGTGTGTGTAATTACAATTTGAAGTTTTATGCAGTTTGAAATTTTGATCGGTATTTTGTTCGATTTCACTGTTCAGAACTATTCAGCATCAATCAGTCACCTAAGTGTTTTGCTTTGCTTTGTGCTTTCCTAAATGTGTTGCAGTCACCATGCTGCAGACTTTGAGTTGAGCCTCAATGGCCGAGAAGCACTGGCACCAGACAGCTCCCTGTCTCACGTTGGCATCGTGTCAGGAGACCTGCTACGCATCATCTGGACTAATGAGGGAGCTGTTGAGATCAGGATCCCACAGGATCAAGCCTCGGGCTCCCAAACCTGTGGGGCTGTAGAAACAGCTAGGGGATCAAAGCCAGACAGTGTTGAGTCTGCCATGGAAGTCAGCAGCAGTTCACAAGACCGAACTCATCCTGACAGAGCAAGGCAAACCGTACCCTTAGTGTCCCATGATCGTACCTCACAGCCATCGGCACCGACTACGACAACAGGCGACGCGCCAGACCTGAGCGGTTGCCGAGCAGCAGCGAAAGATGAAGGAGAAGATATGCGAAGGTCTGTCAGTGAACCCATGCTGTGCCGGAGTGCAACGGACTGCGTTATCCCACAGAGGTTGAGGGCGCTCTACACAGAGAACAGACCGAGGACTATGAATGAGGCATTGTGCATCGTTCTCCACGTGCTGATGTTAGAGACTGGATTTTATGCAAAGGTACGTACATGGACATGCATCCTGTCTCTTGGTAGACTGCTTAACAGAATAATTCAGTAGAAATTATTGACCTTTATTCTCTAAGAAACTGTAATAGGCCTTATTCACGGGTAAGCCATGTTTTATCTTGTTCCCTGAATCTATCATATTCAATGTAATCTGTTAAATGGGTTGATGCCAGACTATAAATTTGGATTTCAACCTCACTTGATTTTCTTTTTAAATGTGGGTGAAACATTTAGATGTGATTTATCCCAAATTTTAAATTATTCTAAACCAAAACTTTCATGAATTTGTTTTAAACTTTCATTTCATCGCTGTTATTTTACTCTCATGTTCCCAAAGTAAAACATTTTACATGTTTTGCCTCACTTTCAATTCAAGATGGCCGACACATCAGTACTTTTCTATTACATTGTCCAGGTCAAGGTAGAGAGTGGTGATGGCAGCTTGACAGGCAGTACCATAGACGGCAGCCCTGGAACCTCCTCTGAGAAACAGCTTAAGACCTCGTCCAAAGATGATGCAGCAAGCAGTGTTGCGAAGGCAGGTATGCCTGCTGGTTGGAGAGTCGCTGGTGTCCACAAGCTGCATTACTGTCACCCGTCTTGTGAGGGCGCTGTCTGCAGCATCGCATGCTTGTCGGTTGGAAAGAAGACGATAGTGCATGGTAAGTGTACATGGGGTACATTGTTGAGTCTCAAAGAGGTGAAAAGCGTGATTTGCTTTAATACAGCGCATCTGTTTTTAGCCAACTTGACTCGTCAGGCCAGTGCTTATCTCTGGTTTACTTGGCATGAAATGAGGCTGAGGATTTTGCTTTTCCCTCTGGATGGAATGCCCAAACTTTGCACTGGGTTGCACCCAGCTAACGTCGGTATCCGTTGCTGGTGGACAGAGGCGAGTATAGGGTGCAGTGCCTAGCCCAAGGACACAACACACGGCCATCAGCCATTACTGCACACTGTTCATGAACGGGAGGCTGACTTCCACCGATTACCACGGTCCCTGCTTGTCCTTGCATAATGGCATTCTCAGCCATGTCAGCATTAAAGGGGAAGACTGTGACACTTGGTGGCACCAGTCATACTGGTCCTTTTCCAAGTTGCATGCATGCTCAGAACTGCACGCACATGCTGAGGATTATACGCATGCTTAGAACTGGGGGAAAGGACCGGTTTGTCTGCTGCCACCAAGCGTCTCAAAGTCTTCTATTGTTACCGTTCTTGACATAGGGGACCATTTGCACTATGCAGCCTTGCCCAAGTGCATACCTTTCAGGTGCAGGCATTACAAGTGTGTGCACATTCAGTTAAAAGTTGGTCACACAAACGACTCACCATATGTAGGTACAAATCAGTGCATGCATGCAGTGCATCGGTAATCCTTTGTTGTGAAGGATTCACGTCACATCATGCTAATATTCCACGTGTTTTGGGCACCCATAAGGCACCTATGAGGCACCCATAAGGAACCCATGAGGCACCCATGAAGTGCCAATAAGGCACCCATAAGGCACTCATGAAGCACCTCATAAGGCACCCATAAGGCACTCATGAAGCACCTCATAAGGCACCCAGTCTACCTTCAGTTTTAGTAGGTTGTTGCTGACACTGCCCAAGTGTTTGAAATGATTCCAGCGCTTCAAACTTGAAACCCAACAAACGTTTAATTTCCGTAACTTTCATCAAGTTCTCTCCTAACACTCTGTAATATTGTAGCTGTTTGAAATAACAGTTTTTTTCGAATCATACAGTCTGTAAGCGTCTGAATTGTTTTTACTTGATGTTGACGCCTGGGAAAAATTGTTGCTCATTTTTATACTCGCTTCTATGTTGATCGTGCAGGTTTAACGGCTGGGAAAGCTAATTTTACCTTGCAGTTGAAACCAAGCAACTACGTAGCAAACGTGGGTGAGTAAAGACTCTGTCCATAGACTAGACAACATTGAATGCAATCCTGGAGATGCATTGTTGTGTCTCATTTACCTCTGTTTGCAGGGGGAGATTTTGAGATGCTTGGTGGCAGCAAACATATAGTACAGGGCCCCCCTTGACAAGTCCACCATTGTCTGCGTCACACTTTAGCTAATGTGGCGATGCTCAAAAAGATGCTAACAATATCAGGCTGATCGCATGGGACTGGTGTGTTTTCTGCCATCAAGCATCTTAAAAATTTCCCATCATAAAAAACTGTGATTTCTTCTCCTGTCAGAAGTCTCTGTGTTTGAATTCTGTCTGTTCAGCCTTGGTCTCATTTCTGAACGTAATGGTCTGTTTTTTTCTTGTTTGGTTTTTTGTAGGTGAACAGCCTGCGTATACCAACCTGCCGCAGCTATCAAGGCTGTTTAAAGATGTAATTGCTTACCCGCTCCTCCAGACAACAAGATCAGGTAGTCTTCTTCTCCAGCCCACACTTAGTGATTCTCTGCAGTACATGTGTATGTTCAAGCTATTAAATAATGCTATCCCTTAACAGTGCCGAGTCTGATGGGATCATGGAATTCACTTTCTAGCTTGTGTAGATTTTAGACTATTCTGAATATTTTTTGGAGAGATCCTTAACTCACATACATGCCATGGTCAGGTGACCAAACCAGGAGGAGTTCATGGTGTTTTCAAACATGTCATAATTTTTCTGCATCCCTTTCATGCTTTTAAGGTATGGTCGTCAATATTTATGAATATCGAGCTTGCAAAAATTAATTGCTTCTCCCTGCATATTTCCTCACATGCATCGCAATAAAAAAAATATTCCCCAGTATTTCTTGGGATTTTTTTATATTGATCGCCACATTCCCTCTCCTTGGATTGTGCTGACATTTAATGAGCTGAGTGACGTGTCCATGCTGCATGTGAAAAAAGAAGGGGCAATATATCCTTATTTTTCCTGGAGGAAGGCTACTTCCTGCGATATTGAAACAACAGGGAACCAGCCTAGATTTTAGACTGACACTAATAGTGTTTCTTGTTTTGGTTCTTCAGAACTGGGTCTTGTTCCCTTGCATGGACTTCTGGCTCTCTTCCCTGAAATTCAGGTAGGTAAACCCAAAGCAGATTGTCAACGTTGAAGTAGCCATCTGTTTAGGATGGGAATATACATTTCTTTTGGTTAGTGTTCAGAGAAACTTTCAAACAAATCATTTAATCCTGAACCAACATTTAGGTTACATACAGGAAATGCAGTGAGTCATCAGGCAAGTGTCAATTGCAACAAAGTGTATAACAGTTGCCACCAATTTTGGCGTGCTAGATATTTCAAATTGGTTTCCTCCGTTTCATCGACCAAAGCTGCTGATCCTGAGTTTCCTTGATGTGGGGAGTCTTCTCAATGTGTCTGAAGTCTGCCGACAACTCTACAACATGGCTGCCGACGGATCACTTTGGCGACAGCTCCTCCTGAGGGACTTTGGCAGCAAGGAATCAGAGGGCAGTCGGAACTGGAGAGAGGTACTGACCCGTTTAGAACTATTGGCTCTGCGCACGAACGGTTGAGGGCAGTCAGAGATCTCATAACAAGCTACTGAGGCCATGTACATGTGTACGACCTCAAATTTATGTTAATCAAGCCAAGCCTAGCTGGCAACAGTGTATGGTGTCAGTGTTACAGTCGAGACTTCTTTGAAGACCATCGCAAGTTTCCTAAGACCAGCGCAGTCTGAATTCAAGTCACAAGCTATTCTGAAGACCTGCAACGAAAGCATTCGTTTGTCATTGTTCACTCTGTTAATGTGACTTGCCCTCTGAACGGTCTCATGTCTGGTCTCATGATGGTCTCAGCTGCATCACTGTTCACGGCCAGTTGCTGACTGTTTACATCAAACCGTCAGCTGTGCATCCAACGTTTGGGTCAAAAGAATGTGCAGGCATTAAATCGATGAATTTCTCTCAAGAGAGTTCTCAGTCATTCGTGAAATTGATATTTTTATTGTGACGAAGCAAGGATTGCTCAATTTGCTGTCATGTGCCAGTTTCATAAACTCTTCTCCTGCTCAGGGATAAGTAGTAACAACAGTTACATGTGTTTTCAAGTGCACCCCAGATCGTTTGATCCGGAGTTACAAAGCCATATTGCCAGGCCCATGCCTGGTATCAGCACCAACATGACTTGTCGCATTTGGAGTTTCTTGATTTTTAAAAAAATCTACATTCTTCCATTTCAAGATGTACTTCGAGTCATTTTAATTGTGATAAAAATTCACAAACTTGTAAGAGCAACTAAGGGTGTACAGGCAAATCCCATAATTCGAATTAACATCGCCTCCACACAAAGTACATCTTGAAATGGTTTCCCGGTACCCGCTGCTACATCTGACTTGGACCAACTAGCTGACTCCAGCAAGTTCAATGGTCCAGTGGTAAAGATGTCTGCACTATGGAGTAGGAGGTCTGCTGGTTCAAGTCCCACCTGAGTAAGCTTGTGAATTTTTATCGCAAGCTTTCAGATAAGCACCGTGTACATATATATAATGTAAATTAATATACATTAGTGTAGGGGCAAATCCCATAATTAAAATGTATTTTTCCAGTTGTGGTCAGACGATTTCACAGGTTCATAAAGAAGGTTGACCCAGAAGTTGTCTTTCTAAAGTGATTTCCTGAAGTGTGTTTTATCAGCGAGTTCATAAATCTCTTTGAAAGTTGCCAGACAAGTGTGTGCCCCTATCTCCACCAGATTTATATATACAAGCAACATTTTTTGGGTGCGATTTCTCCAGCTGTACAAGCAGAGATACAAAAGAAAGAAGGAGCTGGAGAGATATCAGAGGAACCTGATTGACCGGTCTACCCCAGTCACACCAGGCATGTTCTATCCACCTCCTTCCCGACCACCCACAGTGCCAGGCTACCCTCCTGGATACAGGTCAGTGCTCCTGTCTCTACCCCTGATGTCACCGACACAGCATGGCTGAATGGTTTGTCTTGAGCCCGCTGGTACACCCTTCCGATTTTACCATTTCTAATGGACCACTGTGTCACTGGTATTGTCTAGCCCTAATTAGCGGTAGACCGTAATATCACCCGCATGCACGTATCTTACAATGCCAGTCACGTGATGGCCATCTCTTTCTGTGGAGGTTTCCATTTTGAATCGTGACGCTTGCAGTGAATCTGATTGGTTAAGATGGCGTCTGTTGAAGTCGGAGTGTTGCCCCCCAGTCCTCTTCCATGACCTCAGGTCCTATGAAACCAGATTTGATTTCATCTGTAAGTGCCGTGTGTGGTCTGTTATGTCCGGTTTTCTGGCACATACCTCTCTGGTTTATACTTACGATGGCCTTGTGGTCCAGTGAACCATTTTTGTAGGAAAGATGTGTTGCAGGCCAACTTTTCAATACTGTTTCCCCACCACCAATTCCAGATCAGGTCTCCTGGATATAGGTCAGTGCTTTAGCCCCTCTGTCCTCTCCTCAACCGTACACCCACTCCGTAGTTACTATGTAATTCCTCTGTCGCATCACTGTTAAAGCCTTATCCTGCTTCATCCCTTCTGTATTCCTGTTCCAAACCTATCGCGCTTTGGCTCCACCCCTGTTGTACCCCTGTCCACCCCTTGCATAGCTGCTTCACTCGTTGCTTCTTCAAACTCATGTAAAATCAAAAAATTAACAATGTTCTAACCATCAAACTGCAGATAGCACAGTGATCCATTTCCAGTAAGTCAAGCTGCGCATCATTGTTTATCCGGCTTACATGCATCTGTTAGCCTGAAGACTGATTAATGGTTATGCAATTTTCTGCAAGTCTTGAGACTTAAGTTGTCGGCGTTCTGTTCTTACTCTGTGTTCTACAGAGGCGGGGATTACGATCTGGACCCCTTTGCCGGCCTTGCCCCGGCGCACCACTTCCCCATCAGGAGAGACCCCCGAGGTATGCCGTTCCCAGGGCAACCCAACATCGTCCCGTTTCCGGAGGAACCGATGAGCAGAGATCCTATTCTGAACCCGCTGCCTCGGGTGCCCGGCCTACGTGACCCTCGCCGCAACGGCCAAAGCGGTCGCTCTGGAGGCAGCAACAGAGGTTTCTATTTCTGATGAACTTTGTGAAGCAATCTATACATAAATGCTCAGCAACTTGGTTTGTTTTTTCATTGGTTTAAGACCAGGGCCAATTTCATAGAGCTGCTTAAGCACAAATTTGCTTAAGCACCAAAAAACCTTGCTCAATAAACAGAGGTCACCAGCTCAAACTCTATGTGATTGTCCTGCTTAACCAAAAGACAGGTAAATACCATTCCTAAACAATATACATCTCAAGAAGTTTTGGCTGGTAACCTGATTTGTCAAGCAAGGTTTTTTCATGCTTAAACAATTTTTTTTGCTTAAGCAGCGCCATGAAATTGGCCCCAGAAAGCCTTTAACTGTTAATTACTACCGTAATGAATTCCATAGACATGCTTTAGCTATGCAGCACATCTCTTTTAACTTTGACACTTTGCTACATGTATACATGTATATGGTTTGATTTCCCTACCAGATGGACCCATAAGGTTGAGTGGTCAGTCATACTCTGAAACCACACATAATAAAAAACTTTGGCCATGAAGCTTTGTTTGTCATATGCAGCAGCAGTTGATTTTAATGGCTGCCATGGGATGCCTAGCATTGATTTTGGCTAGAGTGACTTCATTGAATGTGTTTAATAAAAAGAAACACTTCAAGATTTACAACGGGTGTGACTGGCACTTTTAGCACAACCCATTTGCCCTGGGGAATAAGTGATAGTCACGAGCACCAACAGTTTGAAGTGTGAACCAAAACGGCACTTGAAGTTTGCAGACTTTTCAAGAACAAGGACTTTGTCCTTTGACATACTATATAAATATGGGCTTCATCCAGCATTAATCCTGATTTCTAGTTCTTATTGCACTTTCATGTTCTTCCCCTGTTCGTGCATATACACCCAACTACCTTATGGTGCATGTGATCTGATCTTGTAAAACTTGCATGCCTACTTAGTGGCACTGTCACTGAAAGTTTCAAAAGCTGTAAAGAGACCCCAAATTTAGCTTCCCCCTCGGGGCATAAAAGGTTTTGTACAGAAAGAATTTTCATTTTGAAATCCCTCCATCCACCCCAAAATCTCAACCAACGGCCCTCCCTCTGCAACCGCTTTTCAAGAATGCAAGACATCTTGGGAGCCATCATTTACTGTTATCCCCAAGTACCTGTACAAGGTCAGGTTGAACCAGGCCAGGGACGGATGGCAAACAACCGGGTTGACTTGACAGGAGTGGAGTTGGTCAGTGGCCAAGTTGGTTGATGTTGAGTTGGTAAACAGTCCAGTTGAAAGTATTGAGCCTTCAGTGCTATCATTTAACCTTTGGACACAAGGCTTTACAATGCAGCATGCTTGAATGTATTCTGTGTGTTTCTCGTTTGTGACCCACCAACCTAAAACCAGGCTGAAGTTGGTATTTGTGATATTGGACAATTCCTCTCCTTCAGTTCTTTTTACACTTCAAAGTGATCCATGTTAAATCGAAAATTCTGTCTGCAGAAACTCCCATGAAAATCTGAACAGTGGAAGTTCCACTATTCTAGGGTTATGAAGTTTGGTTTAGGGATGGTGGGTCACATTTATAAATGTGACACGCAGACTGCCAATGAAGAAAATCAAATTGAGTTCATTGACAGCTTCTGTTTATCAGCAGGTATCCATCATTTATTACATACAACTATTCAATTGAGTTTCATTATAACAAAAAAAAAAGCTAGCCTTCATTAAATAAGAGTAAGATCAGATATGTTTACGAAGTCGGTTTACGTACGTTTTTTTTAATGTTGCAACAGATACATGCTAAAACACCAATGGGCATTTACATATAATGCACTCTTGTTGACAATATACAGAGGTCAAGGTTCAAATAGATGGTGACTACTTGCATGGCTGCATGTAGAATGTGCAGGGAAACACTGGGAACAAGACCAAGCCGAGGTTGTTGTCCATGGGCCATGCCAGAAAGCATTATAGATCTGATATGTAGCCATTCATGGAATGTTCAATATCCTATGTGTATCTTGAAATGTGTACACGGCTACAGCAATTGCACAGTAATTGCTTCTCCTGGTAGGTAATGAAGGTCTTGCTGCTTGCTAAGCAACAAATTTACCTTGACACCAAAAGTGTAGATGTGAATTGAGAACGTCCCCCATGGCTTTGCCACCGGGACAGGTTTGCTCCTCAACTCATGACAACTGCGAAGAATCATCTTTTTTCCTTTTTTTTTTTTTTAAATCTGAAATTACATGTAACTGGACCCAAACTGTTTGACAAAAACAATTAAATAGTCAAAATGACACGTTTCCAAAACTGTTGCACTATGTGAAATAAACAAAAGAACACGAGACTCATTCAAAAAGTGGAAAGTGTTCACTGTTGATAACGGGCCATCCAATGACATCATAAAGACAGCATGATTTATAAAGCAATGGTGCAAAAGATCGAAAGTGGAATGAAAAGGGGGGGAAGCAGACAAACATGAACATGACAGGGTTTTTTTTCAATTTGGGTATTTTTGTCCACAGTTTTTACCTTTCAATTTTTCATATTAAGGTGTGCGTTCCAGGCCAGAAATGAAGGGGACAACGAGACGTTAACAGGAAAATTAGCTGCATGTAGAGCAGTGCTGTGGTAGTCGTCCTTGCTAGAAAAAATTCCACGTACATGAAGTCATTGAAAATTTCACACGTACTCCTAGCAATGTGGGCATGTCCGTAAACACTTTAAATGTACTTATGTTTGATGTAAAATGTGTGCAGTTTTACAGGGAATGCAAAGACAATGACGAAATCAGTGTGATCTTGTCAACATATGGCTCGTATAGTTTGCCTGTTTTCAATTGATCTCTAAACCTCTCGTCTTCACCGTTTTTGGATAAGAACCTTTAATGAAATGGAACACGGAGAGAGCTTTATGTACTTGTACTCATGTTCACACTCTTGAAATCGTAATTGATGTATTGTAATGTAATCATACTCATGGTGAAGTACTCGAACTCGTGGGAAAATACTCGACTACAACACCGATGTCAAGACATGAGCACAACACACAATTCCTTGGCAATTTTAACAGCCTGAAATCGGGCAACGTGGGATGTCTTAAATTACATAGCTGCCTGGTTCACCTATAAGCCTGGAACAGCCAAATAGCTATCACATGGGGACATTTTGCACAGCGAGAGAAAATACTGACATAGTTGTTTTAAAAAGTCACAAAGCCTCAGTATTAAGGTGTTAAAGATCCATTTTGATGCACACGCCGAAACTGGTTTGCTTTGCTTTGAAGCAAGCGCTCTTGGATACAAGTCGTACTGAGATCCCTGTGTATCACAGATCAACTGAATACTTCAGAAATAGCTCTTTGTTCCTAATTCTCATTGTAAGTTTCATTTCTGAGATGTTGCATATGTCCCTTCAAACTGTTACGATTTAAAAACGTGCCAATATCAATAGAAAAAAAATCGAACCCCCCCCCAATAAGGTTGTCCACACACTGGTATTACCAATAAGGCGGTTTTCGTGAACACATTGTTAGCTTTAAGCAAATTAATTCCCTCTGTACGAAAATGTGCACTAACCATACAAAATACTTGAAGCCACCGTCAACATATTCCACTTGGTAATTTCTTGATTGGTACACGTATACAAAAAAAGGCTACAATTGGTCAGCCGCAACACACAGTGTGCCACCTAAGAATTTGTGTTCACCTGCATTTGCATCATACCTTGTCTCATACGGAAACCAAGGACAGCTTTTCTTGTTTTGTGGGTGGGTAAATTCAGTTCCTGGTATATGTGAATTCCGGTCTGCTTGGATGCATTCGATGTAACTTCCAAGACTGACAAAGTGTGACTTCGCTACAGACATTCCAACTTCAATTCACTTTCCGCCTGCGTGAAGATTTTGGGAACTGATAATTTATATGGCAGACAAGTCAACTGTCAAATCTAGGTGGCCGTACAGAGGGCTGAAATGTCTTTCCTGATTGCGCTGCATTCCTTTCACAATGCACTAAAAGTCAACCCGTCCCCAACAAACCGTTCCACTTCTGAGTTAACAATGAGGAACCTGGTGGTACGCACAAAATATTGTCAAAAGGTTTGACGCTGCTTGTTGCCAAGTCTACGTACATGAACATGTGGTGTGCTGGGCCGTTCAGCAAAAAGCAATGCTATAGAATTGATATCACTTTGAGGCAACACATTACTTAAGATATAACCATGGCCAAAAAGACCCCCTTTTTCATGGACTTGCACCTGTAGTGAACTTCTTTTGAAGAGATTTTTCAACTCCCTTACGAAAAGTTACAAATCGCTGTTATGGGGCATCAAGCACAAGAAAATGAACTTGAAGGAATTTAGCAACCGACATTTGACACACCAGGGTAATTTTAAAGATACCCACTTCAACTATCCTTGCCCAGCTTTTTTCCCCCTTGCTGTGAGCAGTGGTATGAAATGAAATCAAGCCCATAGCTACTTTGATGTGGTTCAATTTTTTTTCCCTTTTTTTTTTTTAAATTCTAAATTGGTTCCGGGAATACCACACAGCCACCATCTTAGTTTTTCTCCCCTTTGGAATATTCAATAGCGGCACACTTGCCTCTTCATAACATTGAGCCTCATTTCAAATCTCAGTGATGAGTGTGAAAAACAAAGATGGCCACCGCGTGGCCACAGGTCTGGTGTCCCGACTCAGCGGAAGGTGTAGCGTACATAGGGCACCTCCACATCTTCCCCGTCCGCATCGTTGCAGCACACCTCCAGGACCAGGTGCCGGACGTGTCTGGGGATCTTCTTCTTGGAGACCTTAGTGACCACTTCAGATATCCTGAAAATAAAGACAGGAATGTTGTTCCTTGTGACGTCACTGTAACAGTGGAAGGGTGACCAATACAGCTTTGCTCTGTTAGTTACCGTGCATACCTTGATCCTTTACTGAATGGCATCTTATGACTTGATCACAAGCAGATGTATTGCTTTGGCCTGAAAATTTGGCCTTTCATATAAGGTAAAACATGGCGGCGATCTTTCATAAACACGCAACCAAAAAGTAATAAATACTAATTTCCATTCCTATAACATTTCTCCGAGTCACCTCATATTTGGGTCATTCCATGACGTTGGGGGTCAATTTGTGACTCTGTCAATTGTTACGTGGGTTCCGTATAAATGAACAGCTGTTTCCCTGCATGTGGATTCCCGATTGACATTGCTATACATCTTGCAAGGCTGAATACAGAGGGGTGTGTTATTTTTACAGAGTTTGATGACTTACTCTACAGGTCATGACAGGTGGTAAACGTTACCGGTGTAACCAGGACACCGTCACCAATTGTGCCCCTACCTCATGGAATGACCCATTTTTCAACACTCCTGGTGCACCCACAGGACACTACTTGCTACCACAATAGGCCATGTACAGTGGCCATATTGAATCCAACACATGGCCTGCCTCCACAGGCGGTGTGCGCGCAATAGACGAATGGAGGTTTAGCATATTTCGACATCAGCCACTGGTGAGCCGAAGTGTGCTGGACGTTTCAACCCGTCACCCGTGCCTGCGCACACACGCAGCGGGGACGGTGCGACTCCTAGCTTAAACTCCAATGCAGTCAATTCTGCATTAAGTCCTTTCAAAAAGACCACTTAACCCTAACTCCCTAGGGTGTGCGCAAAATCATATTAAAATTGGAGGATTCAGGGCTGTAGGGGCATGCCTCTGTCCCAGGGTTCAGTAAGCTTGTGACCTAGCTTGTTAAGCTTCAATGATCTGTGGTGGACTCGACGGCAGTGATGCCCAGGGCAGCCAGGCTGGCCTGCTCTTGGATGAAAACTCCCAACAACACACATGTAAGCCCCTGCTCACTGAGTTTTTTACACACTGACTAGCTCAAGCAGGCCACAAAGCAGCATCTAATGTCCCCCCCCCAGCACGGAATCCATGAGTTGTATACACAGATGTCTTTTTTTTTCAATTTGGATTCATTTTCCTTCTTTTCTATTTCATTTCAGCTGCTCTTTCCTGTTCACAGACTCGCATGCAAATGTTTCAGCAACCCAGTCAATTTGCAAGATGCAGCCCAATTTGTGGAACACATCCATCCATTTTGTACCACATTCATCTCCTGACTGGCCAAACAGGGATTCCACTAGACAGTTTAAGGCCACTGAAACAGGGTGTCAATGCTGCTGACAATTTCTGTGTTATCCTCCACTTAAAAGCATCTACCCACCTCCCCCTCAACAAAAACCCAACTCACTTGAATCCCAGTCGTTCCCTGAGCTTGGGCGGGGCCATGAAGAAGGAATACAGCATGCAGACGCCCTGCGACATCATGGTGACCTCCAGCTTGAGCTCCTTCTGGAAGTAGTCCAGGAACTCCTGGAGGGTCATCTCGTTGCCCTCCCGGACGCCCTGCACCTCGATGCGGTCCCAGAGGGAGAACTCAATGTCATTGTACTGCAAGGTGGGAAAAGATTCACATTGAGAATTTATATCATGACATGTATGGGCACGTGCGGGCAGTGTATGGGCATGTTTTGCTTTCCTTTTTTTAAATGGGGCCACGGTCCTAGAATTTGGCACGCTGTGCATTTTAACATTGCTTTTGTTCAATTTCTATGCTGATTTGATGGAATTTTATGGCGATTCAATGTACCATTCTCAAAGATCGTCAAGGCTTTGACATCAACCTTGCAGTCAAATGTGCTCATGCATGGTTTGAAGCATTAATTAGAATAGAAGTTAATTACATAGAAGTTACAAGAAACCCCTTTGTGCAATCCATCTTTGCAAGCTTCCTGAGGCATACGCTGTTGACATTTGCATAACCAACATTTCAGGGAAAAAATGTTCTCATAGAAGCCAAGAACTTCAAGAGAATTGACAGGGTCAAACAATTGCTGGCTTTCAGGGTTGAAGAGGGATGTTTCGACCAGTGACTTCCTCAACAGCACAATGTACAGATAAGTTTCAAATGTGTCACTGTGCCCCAGTGTCCAGAACAAAAACTGAGAAAAAAACAATGGCAGATTTGAACGGGACTGCATCGTGTAATGCACTTCCACAGGACACCGCAACGACAGAGACCATCTCAAAAGGACAAGCAAGATGAGCAAAAGCCGACTTGCCTTCTGCTTGGCAGCCTGGATGGGCTCGGAGAAGCCAAAGAAGGGCAGGGCCAGGTTGATGAAGCCGTTCTTGTAGGATTCCAGCTTCTTGTTGCCGTTGGCCATCTTGTACAGCTCCAGGCACACCAGGCCGGCCACCACCGAGGTGGTGGTGGCGATGGCCGGGATGATCTTGCCCGCGATCAGCTTGGTCTACCAGACAAAACAAAATATTGTCAGACTGGTTTTTTTGCTGCTCAACCTCCGCTCTGAATTTTAAACCACTGCAATTCCTTAGACCCTCACTGTTATTATTTAAATGTATGTTAACCACTTGCTGCCCGGTGGATTTTTCTTGAGCAAGACAAGATTCCGGGTCCTTTTCAAGATTTTCCCTTTTCAAAATTCTTCAAAAAGTCATCATTTCATTTAATGGCCGTTTATACCCACATGAAGGACTCTTTGGACACTACTCAAAAGCGGACAAGTAACCTTCATTGACTCCTGAATATTTCAGCCAGGCCTGCAGCCTTGCAAATAAAGCCCAGATTGTGCGGTGTTACGTAAGATTCTTTTGTTCCTGAAACCGGCACCTGAACTGCTGACCTCCTTTCAATAGGGGCCAGATTAGCGTGCAGCGGTGCTGTGTGGCTCATCGCTGCGGTGGTGGAGAGCTTTTGTCCCCGGTGGTAACCCGCTCACTCTAAATGCCTCAAACCATGGTAAACTGTTTCGAAACAAGGCTGGATTATCTCAACTATTGAGAGCGAAAAAATGTCAGTAATGCCCAGCAGCTCAGTCTTTTGTGCTGAGCATGGTCTTTTGTTATAAGGCCCAACTCTTTTGTCCCAGTTCCGGGCTTCCCGGCTCTGCATATAAAGCCTATGTACTCTAAAACGGGTCGCCCGGCAGGGAGCGATTAAAGTAAGTTGCAAGCTCATCCAACCTCTTAATGAAATCAAGTCTGAAAGTTCAAAGTTTCAAATTTCAAAATGTAATGAGTAAAACTTAATGCTGCCAGGTTTTGCAGAGCTCGTTACAAGTGGGTTGTAACAAATACAACATTCTCCATAAAATAGATGCCCACGATAAAGGATATGTCCCTTGTTTTATAGCAAACACCACTGGTTTGAAGTTAACACTACCCAATACAATACTTTTTCAATCAAGTCACAAGCACACACGAACGTCTTCTGACAGTCTCAATCCTAACTGAGAATTCAATGGTATTTGGCATAAAAAAACATTTGTAGACTAAGGATTTGTGAGGTGATGAAGGAGTGCAAACCTTATGCTTGTCTGCAGGGGCAATGTCATAGTTCTCAGCTCTGAAGTTTGATGCACCCATGATGAAATCCATGTGAAGGTTGCTGTCATCATCCTGAACGGAAAGGCAACCACCCAAAAATTACTCCAGTGGTGCAGTTTTCCTGTCATTCTAGATTCAACGTCACATATATATATTCCCCCTTCCATGATACATCTTGTGAATTTGCAATTTTTTGCTGGTTGTTCTGGCTTCCAAGACAGGTTTGTTTTGTTTTTTCCCCTTTTTCACATCTAAGTTTTTATAAATTTAAAGTAAATTGTGACTGGATCCCACAAAATTAGTCAGAAACAAGTATTTCTTTTTGTCTGTCACTACTTCTGCAACACTCTGAAGTGCTGCCAGGGACGTGAAATTTCAAAAAATGTAGATGCCCTTCGGGCAGGGGAGTCTAAAATCTGGTTGCCCAAACTTCATTTTCAGTTGCCCGAAAAGGAAGTTTTAGCCAAGCGTTGTTTCCAAGCTTTCAGTGATGACTGGCGCTGCTGTGTTGTGCATTGCGTTGTGTGACACGCACTGCGGTCTTCGACTCATTCCATTGCCATCCCTGTCCCAGACCTCTATCCAATCATAGACTAACTTGAAACTGTGGGGGAACCACCATCCTTTACCTTTTCAAATTCTATGGGTGTGATCCTCAAGTCTTTGAGGCTGTCTGGTGTGGGCAAGGCATTGAGGATTGACTGCAGCTCGGCCTCGTCAGCCGAGTGCTGGGCAGAGGCCTGGGCCTCCGTGTCGGTCACATCAATCTTGACGCCTGTTGTGAGTCAATTTAGGGGGAAAAAAGGAAGCAATGAAAAAAATGGTACCGAGGAATCCGGACAAGTGGTGACTGTACCTTGGGATGGTCCTACCAACGACAATAGAGTACTGCATTGGTTGGTTACATAACACCGCACAGTCTGGGCTCTCTTTACAAGGCACCAGACCTGGCTGAAATACTCGTTCGTCAATAGACATCTGTCAGATTAGAGTAGCCACCAGACATTCATTCGCGTGGGTGTAAACGTCCAGTAAATGAAGTTATGAATTTTTGAAGAATTTTGAAAAGGGAAAATCTTGAAAATCCCCCAGGAATACGTCATGCAACTTCAAATTAAACCCAGCAGCATACGGTTAAGGGTCTACTGTGAAAGGTAAACCTGTTTGGCCCTTGATCATAATGCCACAAAATCGGTCCAACTTGTCCTGGATCACAATAGATTCAAAGGCTTACATGCTGGAGATCCGGGGGATGGAAGCTTGGAAGCAGGAGGGATGCAACTTTGACCACTAGGAGGGGGAAGCTGAATGGGCCTCGAGGTGGGTGGGGGGGGTAGAAGAAAAAACAACTTACCTGATTTGGGAACAAACGGAGGCACTTTCACCGACTCCACCACCTTGCGGATGTAGGCCATGTCCCTGTTCTGTGGCAGGCCGTAGGTTTCTGCGTGCAGGTTGGCAGCCGCCAAGATGTAATCCAAGTGTGCAGGCTGGAGAAGAAAGTTTACACTCATCAGTGACCAGCAATCAACCTTGCTGTGCAAATGTCACTAGCATCTGAAAGATTTTTCACTGAGAAAAAACTGTTTATCATTAATGAGTGACCTAAAGAATCTTCCCAATGACTTGAATTTGTCACAGATATGGAAAGTAATGACACAAATGACGCAACTAGAAAGCAACCGTAAAAGCTTGGAATTCTTTCATTGGTGCTTAAATTTAGTGATCAGATTGTTAAACGTGCTGTAAATACACATTGAGGGAGGCCAAGTTAGAAGCAGTATGTGCACAGATTATAGTCTAAAGTCAGGAAGTGCTGTGGATGTGCAACTCTTGAAACACAATTGGCCTCTATACTGATGAAGCCACATTTACATTTGGTCGGGTGCCCGGCAGAAGGGCATAAGCGCACTTAGGCCCTTTCGCCGGGAAGCATGATCACGGCAGAAAAAATTTTCCCGGATATAATTTATTACAAAATCAACCTGGGCTGTACAAAAAGCAACCTTTGAACAACCTATTAAAGGACTAGGGCATTTTTTTTTTTACTTTTTGCCAAGAAATCTTCATATTTCATTAAAATACAATAGTTGCGTACTTTTGTCCTTTTGCCGCGAGAAGTTTTTTGCAGCGACCATGCTTCCCGGCAAAAAGGGCCTAAGCGCTTACGCCCTTCTGCCGGGCACACAAAGATTTACACTTTTCTATGGGAGGAAAGTGGGAAAAAAAACTGGCGTCATCGGTACAGAGGCCTGATTCAACCATCTGTGGCCAGACGCCAACAGCGCATTGCTTACACTGGATGGGTCGAAAGTCAGTGGATGAGGGCATCTCTTGGGGCCCGACCAGAAAGGTGCACCGGATGACGTAACCTGCATTTCAGGAGAAGAAGAGCCATATGGAAGCAATTGCCAAACTGTTCCTGACAAGCTCGGTCAAGAGTCCTACCAGTCCTACCAATCAAGAGTGATTCACTAGAAATCTTTGAGAATTGTAGAAGGCAAAATACTGGCCTCACTGAGGCGGAAGACAGCACACAAAAAGAACATTAGATCAGCAATGTAATGCGGACGGGTTCGAATTTAAAAGTTCCTTTGAGAAGCACAACACAGATTACGAAGTCTCTAAAATGAAGTGATCCTGAAGATGTTGTTACCTGGTCCTTGGGGAAATTGAATAGTAGCTGTTTGATCTGATTGGCGTACATGGCCTCGAAGTGGTTCCTGGCAAAGGCGACGCTGTCCTCAAAGCTGGTGGGTCTGTCGTCCACCAGGAAATTCTTGAGACTTTGAAGGGTCTCCATCTGAGACGAGATAATGTCGGGAACAGAGCGTGTAAAAAACAGTGACAAGCTTCCATGTAGCTTGGCACTTTCCAGCTTTACGTTCTGGTTATTAAGCTTTCAGAGTAAATGCTTGACCAAACCAGGATTCTGCTGAAAGCTTTTGGGGCAGAGTGGATCGGGATTAAACCGAATATGGTAATAAAGGATAAACATAAAGGCTACAGGTTGGTTATCTGAAAAAATTAACCGCCAAAATGGCAAGAGATTTGAAATGTGTAAATGCAATAAACCGGTTAACTAATTTACAACCTTACAGCAAGGTTTACGCTTTAAGAGACATGTGAACAAAGGATTTGTTTGTAAGTCAATTAATTTTAGTGAGGCCTCTCACCAGACTGCAAATTACATATCAGCAAAATTGTCAAGGCATCCTCTTGCACCACAGCCATCTTTAAATTATAACTGAACCAACAATGGTATTTTGACTTTCAAAACATTTCAGACAGAAAAATCTGGAAACGGGTTTCTTGATTGCAATGCAATTTTCTTAATTTTGAATATATGTGTCACAAACTTCACTGCTGTCTTTACCAGCTTCCAGGTATTACATGCAAAATTGTTGAATAGCTAGCTGGCCCAACGCTGAAACCAAACATGCGAGTTTTGATCCAACCATTACTTACAGGTTGCATTCCTGGGAGCTTCAGGGTTCTCTCCATAAACTTGGGATCGCTAACAACGAAAAAAAAAATGAAATAATTTGGAATTACTCACATGAAAAAACATAGAATCAAACAATTCAGTACAACCTTTCAGAGCTCGACCTTAGTTATAGCCTGTAATGAATACAAGTAAACACCCCCATGTTCAGAAAGAAGAACGTTTCTGATCACTTCACGGTGTTTGAGAAAACGAATCCTTGATACCAGTCACTGCCAGAAGTAGAAACTGGGTCTGTAGAATTTTATTTCTTTGTGGGGTGAAGACATTTCTGACGGCCTTCACCTGATGTACTGTTGGACGTTCTCAGCCGGGTTCCTGAACAGCCCTTCAAACTCGTCCCGCGCCCACTGGATGGTGTGCTCGATGGCGTTGGGGAAGTTCTTCAGGGTGCAGATGGGGATGGACTTCTCGGGCGGGTCCTGGGAGGAGGAGTAGGACTCAGTCAGGAAGGGCAGCACTACCTGCACGTTACCCTTGGTACCGAGGGTGCCAGACTCCAGGAGGGGCTTGCGGTAGTAAACGCAGCGCCGGTCCATGTACATGCCTGGGGAGACGGAACAGAAATAGGGTGGAGACTTGAGAAAGAGAACAGGACACCACCCCCATAAAACAGAGGAATCTACAGTAATTAGTGTGAAACAAGCTTTAATGGCAATGGGAAAAACCAACAAAAAACCTCTCTTGAGATTTCACAAACATAATTGATTTTGAAATTTCCGAAGCAACGCCAACAATTCAGGCCTCGACCTTAACTTTTTGAGGGGCAAGGCCAGTTGGGCTTGAGCGCTTAAAAGAATCTTAGGGCATAACAGCCATTGAGTTGAGAGGCACTGAGGACAATTTTAAAGTTTATGCATGCAAGATAGGATTTCTGATGAAGTACACTTGCGCGTATGTACATGTACACCGTGCAAATATATTACTTGAATGAAAACTTACATGTTACATTCCTACAATCTTTTGAGGAAAAAAAAAAGGTTCTTCTATAGTTCTTGCAACATAGCAGCAGGAACCAAAGTAAGAGCACTCCATGTGCATGTGTCGCAGGTGCTTTCCATGCACCTCGCCATCCAGGGAACTTGGTGCAAAATGATAAATTCCTCTTCGCAATTTGACTTGTGTAAAGAACTGTGCTTCACTGTATGGAAAGTTCATGCCCAGGAAACTTGGCCACGAAACAAGGTCTTTCTTGCACGGCACTGCAGCCAGTGTATTGGGGCATACCAGCAAAGGTTACTCATGGACGCTGTTAAGGTCAAGGCCCGATAGTTAAAGACATTAAAAAGGTGGTTTACACAGTCCACTACAAGCGCATCTTTGAAAAAAATATAAACCTCATTATGGTAAACTTTTTCAAGTGAAGGCGAAGCTTATTTCAACATGTCCAAGCTGACAGTTTTCTCATGTATCCTGTTACCATCACACACAGAGTGGCATTCAAAACCTGTAAATATATCACTGCTCTAATTTTATTGGTGAAAAATTGATATTTGTTTCTAAAAACCGTGCAGCAGATGGGCGGGTCAGCTATCATCTAGAAGAACCTTACGTGCATCTATGTTGTCCAAGGCATTGGCCACGCCATCCAGACCCTCAAAGAAGTCATCGCTGTAGATATGCTCCGTCTCTGGTCCCACGCGATTGAGGTGAGCAACGACGTTTAGGTCTGGATTCATCTCTTTGGCCGCCTTGCCTGCCTTGACCGACTTGGGGCTCTGACAAGTGAAAAAGGCAAACACGATGAAGAAAATCTGGCACTGCAGCTTCTGTAGAATAGTTTAAAGATTAACTAACGGTACCTCAAAACGACATTCCAGAACTTAAAGATTCATTAACCCTAACCCCCAGGCTCCTGCACTAGAAGGCATACTGAACCTCACCAAATCCAACAGGTGCATGTACTTGTCTAGGCACTTCTACATGCAGGTTACTGTACCAAACCTGATTAACTCCAACAGAATGAGGCCGTTGGAGTTTGAGTGATACGGTATGGATGGGTCTATGCAGTATAGGATGACTTGAACTGAACAGTACCAAACCTGACAAAATCAAACATATTCCAACAATTGGAACAGCAAGCCACACACTGCACACAATGAACCCTGCATGTCCCAACTCACACAGAATCCAACACCATCTCCCTGGGCCTTTCATCCCAAGTCTCACAAAATTCAACAAGAAGTTCATCAGGTACAGTACCAAACCTGCCAAAACCTCACAAAACCTGCTGTTGGAGTATGGCAGGTTTAGGCCAGTTAGGGTTAAGTAGTCCAGCAGCCCTTTTCTCTAAAGTAATCTGCACTAGTTCACAGAAACTGTTCTGGCTTTTCTTTCCATGCTTATCTTAATTTCTGCGAGGCTACCAACAGCTCTTGCAATAATGAAAGAAAAAACAGAACTAGTGACCCCAACTTTAGGAGAAGCTCACAGATGTGTGCTTTCTGCATGGTGTAGAAGAGAATGGATAATGTGCAACCTTCCAAAACTACACATTTCTGGATTGATGCTAACGGGATGTAGCCAGGCTCAGACAAGTTTGCAAACATTGGATGCAACATGGATTGCTGACATTTGTCAATGAAGTTTTGCTAAAAAGAATTTTCAGCACAAGCAGAACCCTTTCAACACGACGTCTATCGACTGTTAGAAATTTGGACGCATGTAGGTATACAAAAACACCGTCCATCGGATAGGCAATTTAAAACAAAACTGAAGTCCTGAAGCTGCAGATGGAACCTACCTGCACGTCTGACGGCCTGAACAAGAACTGCCGGTTGAGGTTGGACTTCTCGATGATGTCCATGTCGGTCACTGTCACCGTGCCCTCAGGGCTGCAGCCTACCCCCATCATGGCAAAGTTCTTGAGCAGCTCACAGCCGATGGCCCCTGCCCCTACCATGAAGTACTTGAGCTGGGTCAGCTTTCGCTGGAAGGCCGAGCCGAAGACGGCCACCTGGCCGTCGTAACGGCTGCCGGTCTGTATCGGGAGGAGCGCCAAACAAAACATTGGTAATTATCTTGTTCTGCTGTGCCCAGACCTTGTCAAGAACTGGACTCCAAGGCCCACCTTCATCTGCTTTGGCTTCAAGCTATGGATTTATGGATTCAGTCTCCCAACATCAGAACCTGTGGCTCATTATGCATCCACTTAGAAAAACTGAACCAAGGGCAGTTTGATCAGCGACAATGTGTTAACCACTGGTCGATTTTGCCTGGTAACACAGTATACATTTCATGCATGGGTTACCATTTAAAATCGACCACTGGTTGACAATTCAAACTGATGGAACTTGCCCAAAACTGTTCAAGCTTGGAATTCTCGGAGATATAAAATCTAAATTTAAATTGAGGCTTTGAATGGCTTAGAGTACACAAATTTCGATATGATGTGTAGTGCAAATGTCTCAAGCTCTGAAAAAAAGTATGGTGCTTCTGAGGATTGAGAACCAGGTGCTTTTTTAGGTATCATCCTGCTTACAGTCAAAACTGCCTCAAAATATCGAGTTGACAGGTCTAGTTTGATCACAACTTCCTTGCACATTGTCCGCATTGGCTACATGGTGTTCTGAGCTTGACGAGTGCATCAGTTTCTGATTTGCTGCCATATTTTCAGGAAAACGTATCAGAGCAAACCAGCAACGCGACCAAATTCTTTACGGTATTGGTAACATTAGGGCAAAAGCTGAAATTGAGATTCCCTACGAAGGATCATTATTCCTGGCAATTAAATCAGGAGTTGTGGTTACTCTGGCTACATGTCAGACTGCTGGGGCAGAAAGATTGATTGATTACTTCAGTTCCAGGGGGTGCCCGGAAGTTGGCCGACATGTGTGCACCAGGATGTCACCTGCCAACCCCCTAGGAAATCACTGGTCAACTTCCCAGGAAGCAAACTAATCAACTTCCAGTGCTATCAGAAACCAATCTTCTTTTTTTGCTTGACATACAGAGTTGAGTTTTGATACAACAGATATCAGAAATTTGACACAATTTTTTCAATATGCAATCACTAGGAGCTGATAAGCTCTACAATTTACACCCTGATAGGGAGACTGATATTTCAGTGTCGAACTTTTTTACCGAACAGAATTCCAGGACATTTGTGCACAACTGAGACCCCCAAAAAGTAAATCACTTGTGCACCACCAATAAATGCCAGGATGATTATCAAGGATTTACGAACATCAACTACCTCCTAGCTGTGCCCACCTTGTTAGTTCTGGTTTTGTACCCCGAGGCAGTATGATGACCTACTGGTTACCAGTGCGACTAACTCTGATCCAACGTACACTGGTCGACATCGATTGGTTGAGTCTAGTCAACCGCTGCAGACAGCCAAAAGCTGGTCACCCAGCAGCTGACTGATAATGTATGACTATGGACGAGAAATGGCAATGCAACATCGGTACATCACAGATCAACCTTTAACAGGTAGCACTGACCCAGCCCTTGACTTTACTTATCTGATGCTACCTAGGGGTCGTATCCATTGCCACTAACCTTTTTACAGTCTTCCTCGGTCAAGCCTTCCGGGTCGTCCTCTTGTAGGCATTCCAGTGAGTCAAAGTATAGCCACTGATGAATGGGCATGAATTTGCCGCTACAGGCCTGCAAAGACAGAATGCAGCTGTTTCTTATTCCATTTAATTTCATTTTGGCACAGAAAAATAGCATAATTATACTTGTATTTGACTAATTGGACTTTAACCCTAACCCCCAAACTCCTGCACTAGAAGGCACACTGAACCTCACAAAATCCAAAAGGTGCATGGACTTTTCTATGTACTTGTACCAGCCTTTCATCCCAAGTCTCACAAAATTCAACAACAAGTTCATCAGGTACGGTACCAAACCTGCCAAAACCTCACAAAGCCTGCGGTTGGAGTATGGCAGGTTTGGGGTAGTTGGGATTAATGGTATTAACAGCTTACGTACTAATCAATTTTAAAGGTTGGCGGGATCCCATGGAACAGCCAATTCATTAAAAAAAAATATTATTCACAATTACTTTGCACTTAAGCAGAAAATCCAATCTTGAAATGAGGTTGAGAAATTTCCCTTGACAGAAATGTACACTTAGGTGCATCTTTCAGCTGGCATCCTGTCCATATTTTTCGGCAGACAGATATGCCTTCCTTCCAAGTTAAACCGTTCTTTTATTTATACCAGCACCTTGAAGTTTGACAGGATAATATCTTATGCAGTGACACAGCCAATAACATTCCTTAACCCTCCTTTGGTTTTACAGCACAAATATGCACGAGTGCCCACAGTCACTCTCTTGCATGTGTTTTCTATACGGAAAACAAACATGCACAGGTTCAGTGTGTACACAGTTGGTTGTAAGCACAAAATGACACGGTCTTTTGTGCAGTCCTCTTCA